GCCACCAAAGCCATCTCAGTACACAACTAGAGGCACAGAAGTTACAAAAAAAGAAAAAAAAAAAGTGGGGGATGAGAGAAGAGCTGAAGAGTAATGAGCAAATCACTTTCATCTTCAACTCTCGATAGTTAGAATTTTAAGCAGAATAAGAGGAAAGGAAGGAGTCTTACTCTCAGGACGATTACTCAGTCATCTTCAAATAAGGAGAACATTCTCAACTACCACCCATTTGAAACCCTCTGTGTGTCCTCGCAAATTAACAATATCCGAATGACTTTGACTACTTGAAAGCACATGCAAAACATAACTGGGGGAAAGTGTACATAGCTCCCACTCACCCCTAAAATCAAGAAGAGTATGAATTGCCTCTCATATATGACATTAATCTGAGAGACATTTGCCTTTTGAGCTCTTCTGTCGTATTGCGATGTAATATCTACAAGAATTGTTCACTGACCTGGTTGCTGTTCCATGAAGAACCCGATCAATCAAACCACACTGAGCAAACACCCAACTAAAGAACTAATAAGTGGGACTCACTATGTCATAAACTTTCTCTCAAAAATATTTTGTAAAAACGCTCTTAAGGGGCGCCTGGGTGGCGCAGTCGGTTAAGCATCCGACTTCAGCCAGGTCACGATCTCGCGGTCTGTGAGTTCGAGCCCCACGTCGGGCTCTGGGCTGATGGCTCAGAGCCTGGAGCCTGTTTCCGATTCTGTGTCTCCCTCTCTCTCTGCCCCTCACCCGTTCATGCTCTGTCTCTCTCTGTCCCAAAAATAAATAAACGTTGAAAAAAAAATTAAAAAAAAAAAACGCTCTTAAAGGAGGGGTGCTTGGGTGGTTCAGTTGGTTAAAAACCGACTCTTGATTTTGGCTCAGGTCATGATCTCAGGGTTCGTGAGTTCGAACCCCACATCTGGCTCTGCACTGGCAGTGTGGAGCCTGCTTGGGATTCTCTCTCTCCCTCTTTCTCTCTCTGCCCCTCCCCTGCTCATGCTCTCTCTCACTCGCTCTCAAAATACATAAATAAACTTGAAAAAATACACTCTTATAGGATTCCCATTACATACCTACACCTCAAGACCCTAGATACATTTTCTGGAATTACAGAAAATACCTGAAAAAAAAACCCACTGCTCCCACGTAAATAGAACCATACTCAAAAATGAGAGGAAACATTTGGGCACCATATTTATACTAGACTTGTCACTGAGGGCAGAGTATTGGTATTATATCACTATTAGATGGTACAGATTTGTCTAGCCGTGGCAGTGAAAAGGCAGTTGATGGCAATACACAAATGTTTGTTCTTCCAAAGCAAATTTCTTTTCTTCCTGGTTCAGGAGGTTTTTTGGAAGTTGGAAACTCTGGGTGTTATACATATATCAAGGCAAAATGGAAAGAAAAAGAAGTGAAGAAAGGCCTTCCAAATCTGGAGGCTCCTGGGGCCATGGAGCACAGCCAATTCCCAAAGCTACTCCTTACTTAATGAGGCACCTTCCTTTCTCTAATCATGGGAGGGATTCTCTACCCAAATACATCAGAGTACTCTGCGAATTAGAACTCTGGTCAGGCTTCCCTGATTCCCAACACATAAACTCCAGCTCCTGATTCCCAACACATATACTCCAGCTCCTGCCTGTTCCAGAGTTTCTCTGAAGTGTTCCCCTAGCCCCTGATGCTTCATTTCACATTGAAGCACTACTCAGATTGTCTTTAATGGTGTCCTTCTCTGTGCCTGTGCACCCATCAGACTGTGAGCCCCTTGATGGTGGGAAATGAATTTTACTCTTTTCAGCATTCCACACTTGAGTACTCAACACAAAAATGTTGGCTTATATAGATGGAAAAAGTCTTGAGGATGAATTTTTAAAATACTGTTTACATATGCACACTGATTCTGTCAAATTCATAATGGCACACTTCCTCCTTTGCACCTCAAGATCACATTGTCTGGATAATAGATACAGGAGGATGTTTACATTGTTCTCGGTACTGGTTTAACTCTTTGAAATATTTTAAATATTACTAAATTGTCAACTCTGAATATGGAAAAAGAGAAAATATACATACTGAGTCTCTACCTCTGCCTACTTGTACCCATTTATTTATTTTTTTTCACAGTATATTTTTTGAGCACCTATAAAGAATTGGGTTTGTCCTAGGCATTGGGCAAGGGGAGTAGTGAACAAATAGAAATGCCCTTTGCACCCATAGAGTTTATCTTCTACTGTACTTGGGGAAAAAAACAATAAAATAATAAAACAGAGATACCAAGCAAACTCAGGCTGTAATAAGCACTTACAGAGAACAATAAAACAGATGATGTAACAGTGTGGCTGGAAGGAAGGAGGCGCTATTTTCAGAGATGGGCAGAAAAGGCCTCTTTGAGGTACTCCAACCAGGATAAATGCAGAAGAGTGAGGGAAGGAAGTGGGGTAACCTATGAGGTCAGAGAGTGAGCTGGCGCAAGATTACGGAAGGTCTTAAAAAAATGTTGCAAGGAGTTGAGATTTTATTGCAGTGCCAAGAGAAGCCATCAGAATGTTTTAAGTAGGGAGGGGACAAGAGTTTACTTTAGGGAAGACCACTATGACTGTTGGGTAGACAATGGAATGTGCTCTGCCAAGAGGTGAAGTAGAGGACCCCTTATGAAAACTGGGCTACATTTACTCGACTTCATTCTAATGGTTCCCAACCAGGGACACTTTTGCTGCTAAAAGGACATCTGGCAATGTCTGCAAATATTTTTGTTTGTCACAACTAGGAAAGAGGTGGGTGCTAGTGGGCAGAAGCCCCGGATGCTGCTAAAAATACTATGATGCACAGGACAGCCCTACTCAACAGACAACTATTCATCTAATGGTGCCAAGGTTGAGAAATCCTAATTTGTCCTATGCAGATCTGCTCTTTGACCTCTGGGTTGCATGACAGAAGCAACAGAAAAAACAAGTGAAACAAATTCTAAGGTGTGTGTGTTCATAGGAAGCAAAGAAGCAAACTATGGAGGGGAAAAAAAGGCCCAATAAGAAGAAACTGTAAAACTAGACTCAGAGTCACTCCAAACATGGAGCCATCCACTAGCCCCGCCTTGTGTGCCAAAAGCAAAGACACTTAGCTCTTAACACCAGCTGACCCCCCCCCTTAATTTCTTATTGCATCATCGACATGGTGAACTTCGAAGATGGAGAATACATCCAGTTATTTTTTTTAGCTTCCTTTAATTAAACTAAATGCCATTCCATTTAGACTACATTAACACTGAGAAAGTCTTGATGAATGGCATTTCTTGTCCTTGGATGTATTTTCCCTTCAATAAGTTGATAATTTGCCTTCAGAATTTGATAATTTTATATTAGTGATTGGGATTAAAACTGTTCTCTATGACAATACCTGGTCCTTTTCCATTCATATGTCTAAAAGCAGAGATAGCATTCCACACTGGACAGCAATGCCATATGCTGATCTAGGTTAAGCTGGATTTTTTTTTCCATGAAGAGACTGATGCAACAGGATTCTCCCAACAAATTATTACGCTGAGTCTCAGAGAAGGTTTCACACTCTAAGGGAGCCCCTGGGATGCTGTTATTACTCTTTGAAGGACACTTGACTTTCACCGAACATCTGCCTTGTTTAATGTACCTCCGCTAAATGTAAGCACCTGAACTGAATATGTTAACCAAGGAAAGCAACTAGCAAGAAACCATTCTGAAAACCCTGGGACTTTGCAGTAGGCTACAATACAACTTAGATCCTCAAAAGAAAATCCTTAAAAATAGGTTTCAGGAGTTTCTTTTAAAGTCTGTATTTTCTGAACGGTAATAATGAGTGAATATCAACAGAAATGAATGGAAAAACAAAGATTATATATTTACATTCAAATGTGAACATTAGACCTACTGGAATAAACAGATTCTAATATGAGGCAATCCATAGGCAGACAAATATATTTAACAATTAAATACAAGTTAATACCAGTGAGGGTGGCAGGATAGTTACTCTGACACACTACTGGGGCAAGGTTACAAATTATTACCAATAATTATTAGTATTATAAAAATATTTGTATATTATTATCTGCATAATTTGCCTTTGTAGAAGCATCTCACAATAATTTTTTGAACAGTTTATGCTGTATAATCTGATGGCTACCCTCCTAACTTCCCTTCTATCCTAAGTGAGTGATCAGAGAAGAACACAAAGATTAATCAATGAGGGTACTTGTTGCAGAATTATTAATAATAGTGTGAAATGGTAACAACAACAACAAGCAATTCAATTATGAATTATGGTTAACCTCAATTAGGAAATATTAGTAAGTCATTAAAAATGAATTTTTTAGACAAACATTCAGGATACTAGTGTACCCCTGGACCTTCAAATAGTGCCTGGTACATGGTATTACGCCCTCTAGATAGTTGCCAAATGAAAGAATATAACTTTAGGGGAGCCTGGTTGGCTCAGTCAGTTAAGCATCCAACTTCAGCTCAGGTCATGATCTCAGAGTTTGTGGGTTCAAGCCCCACGTCAGGATCTGTGCTGACAGCTCAGAGCCTGGAGCCTGCTTCAGATTTTGTATCTCCCTCTCTCTCTGCCCCTCCCTTGCTTGTTCTCTCTCTCTCTCTCTCTCTCTCTCTCTCTCTCTCTCTCTCTCTCAAAAATAAACATTAAAAACAAAAATTAAAAAAAAAGAAAGAATATAACTTTAAATGGAAAAGGGTACAAAAATCACTTTTTTCAGTATAATCCACATTCTCTTATAAGCATACTTTAGATAGATATAGATAGGGAGATGGACAGACCTGTACCAATGCATAGAAAAAGATCAGAAAGGAAATACTCAGACTTTAAAATGGTTATTTTGGGGTGGTGAGTTTACACATCATTTTTATATTCTTCATTTCTTTCTTTATTTTAAAAATCTTCTACAATAAATATTCACCATTTTTAGAATCAGAGTGATCTTTTTAAGCGTACATGAGAAATACAAATCACTATACCTTTTGGTGGTGTTTCTTACTGGACTTGACTCCACCTCTCTAATAGGTCTTTTAAGTGTTATGGGATCAGTCAATTAATGTAGTTTAATAAACATTTGCTGACACTCTGTTAGGTGTCTTCCATGATCTGGGGACACATGAATAGACAATAAAATTCTTACTCTTAAAGATATTACAGTAAATACAAAGTTTTATTAGTTATGTTTTTAATATAAAGATAATAGAGTTAGGATAAAACAGAAGAAACCTTCATAATGGAAGTAAGTGGGCACAGGCCACCATGAGAGAGTAAAGGCAAAAAGAGTCTCTTTGCCAACCTGAGGGAGACCAGTTCTAGAAGCGAAGGAAAGGAAATGAGCACAGGAGGAGACCAAGTTGGCATGCGGCCAAGGAACCAAATGAGACAACACCTGAGATGTGAAGTGAACAGACAGCAAGGGTAGCTTTGCTTTTTGGTTTGTATTCTAGTCACATCTTCGTTTCTACCCAAGGAGAAATGATAAATGACATGTCTATTGCCTTCGCCAGCCGTAAGGCCAATTTATCCACCCCCCTCTGCCTGACTTTGTCAGTAAAACCCCCCTCTCTTGGTTATATCTCCACAACCCTGATCATTCCATTCTCCACTTTTTCCACATCTCCAAATCTTCCAGCTTTCTTCCCTGCCCAAGAAACACATTCCATAATGTTTTTGACATTTTAAGACAGGGAAAAGCATTTTAAGACAGGGAATTCATGACTGAAGCTGCATAGAGGATCAGTTCAAATAATTAAGTAACTAGTAAGATGGTAACTTTCCAACAAGACCCCCGCAGCCCTTCTCTGCTTATTGTCGTATAGGGCATGAGTGATGGATTACCTTAATACCAGGCCCTTTGCATCAGTAAATACCAAGTCCAATGGGAATAGCCCCAGGTAAGAAGTATCTCCAGTAAGGGTCACACCAACATACACTTTATTCAACAGCCACAGATACAGTATTTACCAATCTAAGACCATGTGGCCAATAGGAATTTCATGCATTTTGTGGTATAGTGTATAAATATGCAACTAATGGGGACATTCTTTTAATTTTCTTTTTTAAACACAGAGTTCAGAAATAATTCAAAACATAAAGCAGCATAACCAATATGTGGACTACAGAATGCTAGTTTCATGGGATTATAATGGATGTTATAAAAAAAATGAGGATCCTGGTTAAAAATTCTGGGAAACACTAGGTACGACAAGTGTCTTTATCATTAGTCTTGAACAAGTCAAGGAAAATTGAGTTTCTCCTAGAAAATGATGAGATACATAACATTTCCCAAGTTTATGTGACCATAGAATCTCTTTGCACAGGTTATTTTGCAGGTCTAGAGTTCTCTTAGGGACCATACTTTAAAATTTAATCATAGTACCACATTAGATTTTAAAATTACAGAGGAGAGGGTGGGTGATGGGTATTGAGGAGGGCACCTTTTGGGATGAGCACTGGGTGTTGTATGGAAACCAATTTGACAATAAATTTCATATATAAATAAAAAAAAATAAAATAAAATAAAATAAAAAAAATAAAATAAAATAAAATAAAATTACAGAATCAGATTAGATCTCTAATCTCTGTCAGGAGTGATTTCAGAACAACTGTCCTCAATAGTGTCTGCACATTAAAATCACACGAGAGAGGCACGTGGGTGGCTCAGACGGTTAAGCATCCCACTTCAGCTCAGGTGATGATCTCTGTTACGATTTCATGGTTCATGGGTTCAAGCCCCACGTCAGGCTCTGTGCTGACAGCTCAGAGCCTGGATCCTGCTTCGGATACTGTGTCTCCCTCTCTCTCTGCCCCTTCCCCGCTCATGCTCTGTCTCTCTCTGTCTCTCAAAAATGAATAAATACGTTAAAAAAATAAAAAAAAATAAAATCACATGAGAAACTTAAAAAATTTCCAATGCCCAACCCTTACCTCAAATCAGTCAAATCAGAATCCCTGGGGCGAAGACCAAGGCATCAGTATTTTGTAAAGTTCTGAGGGGATTATAATGGGCAGCTGGGTTGAGAGCCGCCACCTTTGTGTCTCCTACCAATGCAGGACGCTCTTCTTTTTTTTTTTTTTTTTTTTTTTTTTTAACGTTTATTATTTTTGGGACAGAGAGAGACAGAGCATGAATGGGGGTTGGGCAGAGAGAGAGGGAGACACAGAATCGGAAACAGGCTCCAGGCTCCGAGCCATCAGCCCAGAGCCCGACGCGGGGCTCGAACTCACGGAGCGCGAGATCGTGACCTGGCTGAAGTCGGACGCTTAACCGACTGCGCCACCCAGGCGCCCCTGCAGGACGCTCTTCTTAAGGCATCCCTGGTATCTTGGTGTTCTAGCTTTTCAACACGGTGAGCCTCTGTGGCCCCTTGTCACAGCAAAACATTCCTCTCCTATGTTAAATACAAGATGAAAGCCACTGTGTCTAAGATAACATTTATCTCAGTAATATCTTATATTGCTAAAACTGTAGGGCACATGCTACATTCCTATCTCCCATCAGTAAATGAAGGGCCTATTTTATTTTTGCCCCTTAGTAGTTTGAACATAGCACTCCACATAAAATTCCCACAAAGGGAAAAACAAGCCTCACATTTATTAATAAAGTTCTAACAGCAAATATTGAAAACCTGATATCCAGACAGAGTACAGAATATTAACTGTGACATGTAATATTTAAGGGCAGAAATTTTTTATTAATATTTATATACCTAATATGTACAATCGAGAAGTCTAAATAGCAGAGATGCTTTTTGCATTATGCAGACACAGGCCCAGTGAATCTCTCCAGCCTCCAGGGCACAGAGTAAGACTGCCTTGGAGGTGGGAGCTGACACAGGACTCTTTGCCAGACTTTGCCTTGGTAGGAGCCTTAATTAATTTTATTTATAGTTCTACCAAGTACTGCTCTGTTTCTTCTCATTGAATTACTTGGAATGCATGTTTAGTTGTAAGGCAGTGCTTTTGGTTGAATAGTGAAAATAAAAATACTTGAACTCCAGGGACTCCAGCCACACAAATAACCATTCAAAACTTGGAACCTAAAATGATATGCCTTTGAGTGAACGGAGCAAAAACCATTCTCATAAATGATACCTTCCAAATCACTGTCCCCAATTTGGGATGAGTCGTGATGCTATAGGCCATTCTGTTAAAATGTGTGAACAGTTATACTTCTAGCTACCCACGGATTTCATGCAAAATTTGCACCAAAGAAAACAAAAACATCTAGTGCTTTATCCTTAAAACTGAAAAGGTTTATGACAAGGTAGTTACATTATTTATTTGAATAATAAAATAAAGCCCAGTATCAACCTGACTTGCAAACCAGCTATCTGATCTTAGAGTCACTAATCTTTATTTCCTTCATAATCCAATTTCCTTTATTATTTGCAATGCTAATGACTGTTTTGATTAAAGAATTAGGGATAGAAATGATAATGCTGTATAATTAAGTATGCAGATTTGGAGCTTTTTGCTTTTAAATGCAGTGTATTCAAAGAGCTAGATCTTGGTACTAGATAATTTGTGAAATTATATATTGCATTAATAATGTGCTGGAATAGTTAAGGGGCTAAAAATTTCACGATTATCCCACACCCAATAGTTGGTGGTCCATAAATATACCAAATGAATCTAAGTAGGCCTTTAGAAAATCCAATTTATTGAATTAAGTATGAGTTTTAATAGCCCAATAAAACATAACTGAAAGAAAAATATTGCATGTTACACTGCCCAACTTCGGCATAGCAATTCATTGAATTTTATCTCTCAACAAAAAAATAAATACTATAATTATTTTTCATGACAAATTTGTATCTAATTTAAATGATACTCCTTTGTGAACCTGAGAGTTTCTATGATAATGGGGGAAAGCTATCTTCTTGTTAGGTGTTTTAAGACTGAAATATAAAAGGAGCCTCAGGGAATGTGTAGCACTTATGCTAAAGAAGAGGAAAGCAGCTGAGAGGCTGGGGCAATTTACGGCTGTGTTTAATTTTGTGGTTGGGCTGCTGTCACACAGAAGAAGGACTGAACTTTCTCAGAAGCTTCTGAGGGCTGCAGAGCAAATAGATAGTCTGTAAAACAACTTATGGAAATCTTTTCAAGCAGTCAAAATTATTTCAAGAATGGAAAATCCCCAAAAGGAAGTGAGTCTTTCATTAAAGAAGCAATCAAGTCCACGCTTGAAAAACACGGGCAGAACTACTTGAAGAAGAGGTCTGGCATGGGAATCAGGAGTCAACTGGATTACTTTCAAAGTCTGGTTCTACCCCGAGGTCCTAGAGTTTTCTGAGATTAATTACAGCCAATTGGGAAATATTAAAAAGTCAAGGAATTTAAATGAATTATTTAAAATACCAGAAATCAGAATCTAAAAGGAAACTTTTAACTCAAGGTGCAGGCACTGGAAGACACACAGATTTTTGTAATTAAATCATTCTCTATTAAAAATCTGTACAAGTATTGTCATATTCCTCTCTCTCTCTCTCTCTCTCTCTCTCTCTCTCTCTGTGTGTGTGTATACATATATATATATATATATATATATATATATATATATATATACATATATATATATGTATATATATATATGGAGACTTTTGGGGAGTGGTCTTTTTTGATATTTCAAACTGAAATCTATCAACTATTAGATACCTACATGCTTACAGTTGCTATCCCTAGAATGCAAGGTCATAGATGATTTTTAGTTTCTTCTTTTTGTTTATGTTAATATATTGGTTTTCTTCAAAGGTCCTGTTGGGGTGCCTGGGTGGCTCAGTTGGTTGAGCGTCTGACTTTGGCTCAGGTCATGATCTTGTGGTTCATGGGTTTAAGTCCCATATTGGGCTCTGTGCTGTCAGTGCAGAGCCTGTTTCTGACTCTCTGCCCCCTCCCCCCTTGTGTTCTCTCTCTCTCTCTCTCAAAAATAAATATACATTTTTTAAAAAGTGTCATTTTTAGGGGCACCTGGGTGGCTCAGTTTGTTAAGGCTCTTGACTTTGGCTCAGGTCATGATCTCATAGGTTGTGAGTTCAAGCCCCACATCAGGATCCATGCTGACAGTGTGGAGCTTGCTTGGGATTCTCTTTCTCTCTCTCTCTCTC